CTCAAAGTATTGAAACAACAACTCAATCACCTAAATAAATCTCAATTTGGTGACTTGCGTATGAAGGTCAAGAAAGCCAGAGAGAACTTACAGTGATTACAGTGGGATCTTGCATTAGACCCTTACAACGTGAGCACTCAGGAGGAAGTAACGGCACAATTGGAACAACTACTAGCCATTAGCAAACATGAAGAAGTCCATCTAAAGTAAAAATCTAGAATTTTATTGCTTGGGACAACAACAGTAGTATTTTCTTTGCCTCCATGATGCGTAGAAGTGCTCATAACAGAATAAATCAACTCTCACTTGATGATGGAACTATTATCATAGATGAGGGAGCTCTTAGGGATACAAATCTTTCTTACTTGGCAATTCTGGACACATTTGTATCCCTTATGAGAGGTATGCCTCCTATTCCTTAAATATGTCAGTGCCCTCGTCGCTTCACCAGGCTTTCAATGAACTGAGATCCCTCAAAGGCATCAACGATTTCAAAGCTCAAGCTCCAGGTCCATATCGATATAACAATTTATTGTTCAAAAAAGTCTGGCCCATCATAAGGCGTGATATATATGATGCTATCATGGAATACTTCTACTCAAGAGGGATGCTGAACGCTATAAATTCTACTATGATATCCATTGTGCCGCAGGTTCTGAATCCATTTTGCCTCACGGATTTCAAACTCATCTCATGCCGCAATATTTTATATAAGATCAAGGCAATACTTGCTGAAAGAATTGGCTACGTCCTTCCTTTAGTTGTTGGCCTCAACCAAACTGCTTTCATCTTTGACAGATTTAGGAGAATATTTTGCTTTGCCAGGAACTCCTTCACAATTACCATAAGGGCGACAAAAGTAAATGTGTGGCAATAAAAAATGACCTCATGAGAGCTTGTGACATGGTAAAATGGAAAGCTGTACTCGAGGTTCTTAGAGTTGTTAATACACTCTGGCACTTGATTCATCTGATAGCTCAATGCATTACTACACCAGGGTTTTCGATTAACCTCAACGGTGTACAGGTTGACTACTTTGCTAGTACCAATGGATTAAGGTAAGGTGACCCACTCTCACATTATCTTGTCTTGGTTATGGAAATTCTTAATATAATCATCACTGAGAAAGTTGTCACATCTTCATTCAAGTATCATTGGTGCTGCAAAAAAGAAAAAGTCACTCACTTATGCTTTGAAGATGATTTATTTCTTTTTGCTCACGGGGATGTAGATTCTGTCATTTGCCTTGTCGATGCACTAGAAGAATTTGCAGATCTCACAAGATTACACTTTAGCCCAGATAAATGCCAAATCATTTTCTCTAGGTTGACCGAGGAAGAAAAAGTCATTATATTGGATCACACGCCTTTCCCCATAACTACCCTCCCTATTAGATACCTTGGTATTCTCCTTGTCACAAGACAACTCAGGCACGTAGATTGCAAGAGTCTGACTGATAATATCTCATAAAAAAAAATATAAAGCTTGGGCAACATATTAGCTATACTAGTCGTCTTCAATTGGCCATATTGGTACTTATTTCCATATGTACATAATGGTTGCAAATGTTATTCCTCCCAAAGAAAATTATATAGGAAGTGGAGAAGAAGATTAGACAATTCTTATGGGATGGAAGTACATAAGGCCACAAATCATATAAAGTTGCTTGGGAAGTTGTTTGCTCTCCAAAAAGAGAGGGAGGACTAGGGTTGCTCAATTTAAAATTATGGAACAAAGTTTTGCTAGGCAGCATGCTTCGGAACCTCATAAATTATTCATTGTCTTCCGTATGGAGTAATTGGGTTCAAAGTACCATATGTAGAGGCAACCCGATTATGCTTCTCGAAACTAAGGGTATTATGGCGTGGAGTTGGCGTGTATTCTTAAATTGAGATCGGGTTTAGCTTCAACCATATCTAGGTAGAGATATTGTTGCAAAGAGATATACAATGAACTCAGGGGTGTATTACCGATTATGGAATGGTATCAACTTATTTGGAGAGGCAGTGTCAGCAAACACAATTTTATCTGCTGGCTGGTTTATAGAGACAAACTACCAACAGCAGAGATCGTATCAGGTTGGAAGTATAAATCCATTTTAGTTTTTGTATGTCAGGTCTGGAAAACTGAGAACCATCAATTCTTTCAATTCACCTGGACGAGAAGCATATGGCATAAAATCCTCGCACAATAAAAAATTCAATGTTCTTTAGGAGGATGGAATGGCAAATTCTAATGGATGATAAGGGCTACCAAAGGCAAGGACTTGGCGGCGAGGCTTCTCAAGGTATCTTTCCTATCGAACATATATTGCATTTGGATGGAGCGTATCCATAAACGTTTAAAAAACAAGTCAAATATTGTCCCCGTCATATTGGGTAAAGTTCATGAACTTGTCAGAGAGCAAGCTTCGTACATAAAAAATTTTAGACCTTCCTAGACAATGATAATATTGGCTACTACATCGATACTCCCTCACTCCATTTTTTCTACGTTCTTAGTGATATTTGTAAAGTTGGAGAATGCCTCTAAGCTTCAGTATGTCATCTTATAAATGATACTTACATTTTATACCCAAAAAAAGGGCGACGCCGGTACTGTTAAAGATCAGACTGTGCTGCAGCCAGTGGAGGCTTGAAGAACGCGCCGTGCAAGGTGACTGATGTGCGAGCGAAAAACCGCAGGAAAAGTGCTTTGTTCTCCTCGTACTCTTTATACTTCATTCACATGTATATCACGCGCGTTCCTCCCTCGTGGACGGGTCAGCCCCCTCCCCGTTGTGTGCGTTGGTCTCCCCTTTATAGTTCAGAAAATTAGACTCCCAGAAAAGAATCGAATTCTCTACTTTCACTTTCCTTCTGCGGGTGATCAAATACTTGGTGCCTTTCGTTTCTTTCTTTCTTCCATTCAACCATGAATGTTTTTTTAATCCATTATCTTCCGTTCTTGACCATATATTGGTGCCCAGATAATCTCCCTTGTGGCCGTGAACAGGTTTCTTTTACAGGGAATGGATTTAATATTTTCAAGTTTCGATTAATCATCAGCTTCCTATCTTGGATAAAAAAAGATACAATAACCCCTTCTCCTTAAGATATCACTTTTCAATAATCTCCATATAATTAAAATTCCAAAAATAAAATTTTTATCTCCTCAGAATGTATAGGATAATGCAATCTTTCCAATTTTATAATTCCTCATGTGCAATGCACATGCGATCTTTGGCCCCTATAGTCTTTAACGGACTTGTCCAAAATTTCAAATTCCGCAGGCTTAATCTAGATTACTTAATTAAACTTAAAACCTCCCTGCTTAAGTCCATCAGCTCCAGTCCAATTAGAATGTAGTTTTTTTTTTTTTGGTAACCCGGGAACCCCCCGCACGGCCGACAGCCGGAGAGGTAAACCCGGGGTGACGCTAGCGCAGGACAGTCCAATTAGAATGTAGTTTATGTGTGCTTATTGCTACTAAATGATAATGCTCATGATATGCAAATGCAAATTAATAATATTTTCATTTGAGGTGTTAGGGTTGATCGTTAATTTTCTATGTAATAAATGACAAAATATGCCGTCAAAATTTAAGTGTCAGTAGGTTGACCGCTACAAATGCTTGGAACATTAGGAGACATGACAACCCTAAACTTGATTGGCACCTGGCACAAACCATTTTGCTTAATTTAAACATTCCTAGATCCAGATCATTACTTGGCTAGCTATTCTTACAGGCTGCCCACCTTTGGTAGGTTGTGCCTAAGCTTGGGAAGATCCTTTTGAAACAAGCAGGGAACATGTGTATGTAGTATACTTGGAGAGCCAACAACATGGTGTTACATGGTGGCTCCTCCCTCACCTCTGGCTTTAAATGGATCAAGTTTACTGTATAGACTAAAACTGAGTGCTTCTTATCTACTGAAGAACATGGCTGTTAAAAGTGTTCCTGGAACTTTATGCTCAATTTGGGGTATAAGCTTGCAATAGCATGAATTCTCATTAATTACAGCTATGGCTAAGGTCTGTTATGTCATCTTTTCAGTGATGTTTGTATCCATTATAGATAGTTCATGCATTGACTTGCTTGATATGATCGACTACGTGCTGATTTTTTAGTGTAATGGTGGTCGGATGGAACTAGTAGCGGGAATGGCTCATCCACATACTACCAGTCTTGAACTATAAATGATTAAGTACTCATTCATCCGAAAAAAATATATATATATATTGCTTACTTATCGGTGAAAAGACAGAGGATCGTATAATCGACTATATTAGTTTGATCACTTCATAAATGGATTTTACTGTAATCCCCTTTCTGTCTAACTTTCGAAAGCCATGCAAAATTACTCGGGCTCAATTTGGTTTGTTGAAATAAGATAACTAGAACAAAACAAAAAGGTATAGGAATAATGGTCTAAATGGTAAATAACGTTCATAACACATCTGGAAATAACTTGAAATTAAATGTTTTTATAATTATAGACACGTTAACAATTCACCTTAACAGGGGAAAATAGCAATTTTACTCCAAAACTTACCAAAAAAGAAGCACAAATAGGAGATAAATGCCCATCACATTCTTGATTCTGCTGTTGTCTTCTCAAATCACAATTGTTCATCCATCTATAAAACTATAATTAAATCATATAAATTCCTGTTTAGTTAGACTCACCTCCTCCTGCATTGATGACCATGCCTGATAAATTATTCTTAATAAACATCCAATATAAAAAGGGAAAGAAAAATAAAGGCTGGAGTACCATTCCACTTTCTCCTTTGCCGGCTCACAAACAAGGCTTGATGTTTCATAGTTCAAACAATAAAAGTTTCGATAACGGATATGGCCCAACAAATTTGACGAAATGACCGTAAAATAAACTCAGTTTGCTTTCACCTCTTTCCCACTCGGAATCGAATCAGATCTTCGAGAAGAAACATCTGAACTTGTCGATGTCATTTTAGGTTCAACTATGGATTCTTGAGCTGATCATCCAATTCTTTCACTGAGTCTCTTCATCACTAGATGCATTATCCTCTTCCTCACTGCTTGGATTCATATATTTCTCCCATTCTTCGCTTCCTATAAAGACAATCAAATAAATAAGTAGACATAAGGAGCTTATGTTTTTCTTTAAGCCGTAAGATTTGCTTCAAAAGGAAATACCTGGTGCCACCCATCTGCAACCGCAGATATTCTGGAGGTTGTTGTGTGATTCCTCCAAAAACCGTTCAACATCGGTTTTCTCTGCACTAGAGATCTTCAATGACTTGGATGTAGAAATTTTTTCTTTCTTACCAGAAGATCTCTTTTTCTTCAATGAACCCTTCATTGCAGTAGCAGGTCCTTGCTCCTGAATTCTCACCCAAATGAAGCCACACCCAAAGCATTAAGTGAAAATAACTTTGATTCGCATTTTACTTATTTAGGGTTTTTATAACTCACCAGTAGAGAATTACTCTCCGGTGTCTCCATAGCCTCCATTATAAATTGGACAACCTCGACAGTTGAGCGAAACATCCTTGTTGAGTGTCCATGACGATAGCTCTGCAAAGATAATAGATTTCGTTTATTTTAATTACCATCGGAAAACTTTAAGATAGTCATTTGCAAAGCTATTACTCATCAAAGGTTGTGAAAAAATTTCAGTACACTCAATAATAAAATAAAACTGGCGATAATGTAAAACTAACATTTTATTAATCATTTTGGCTAACGTACATCACTAGATAATCCATTTCATCTCCTTGCAATGTTTACATAAACCAAATCAGTCGAATCTATATTATTTCTTTGAAATCGTTGATTCATTAAGGAAAGCAGTAAAGAAGTTTTTTTTAATATACAATTACCATATCTAATTTTCCATTTGCTCGTCGTCTGCCTGCAATATGCCACCCTTGAAGCCTCTCTTCAAAAGAAGATTGATGTTGGATGCTCTGCAATCAATAAATAATAACCACATCTTTAAAAAAACCATTAGAAAATTAGGTAAACTAATTGAGATATTCATATGCATTCGACGGAAAAACGTCAAGAAAAAATTCAAGAAGCACCTTGTCTAAATGTGTGCCAGTCAGACAATCTGGGGGGAGTAAGAAGGACACTGTCTCTTCCCCTACTAGTGTGGTCTTGGCCCTAGTTTTGACTTCCACTGACGAAGATGGATTTGTCTGTGTTTAGGATTTCAGCATTTTTCATTGGTTACAAATTCAACTATTAAAAAGTGTGCATTAATATGAATAAAAGATTAAATGTTGACAATCAATCACCATGCACTTTAACTGAGGAAATGTTTCTTCGGATCTTCCAGAACGCATTGAAATAATATTACCTTAATGGTCGAGACATTTATCCCCGCATTATTTTGAGGTAATCGATACGATATTGGATCCGGGTCAATCACATGATCTGCAATACTTTTTCTCAATTGAGAGACAACTTTCTGCAATCACAAATTATCAATGCTAGTATATCTTATCGTTAAAGCATGGACGTTTCAAAATTATTTTCAAAGTCAAAAAATTGGGAATATGTGTATTCTGTTTATACATAGGTGTTGTAGCTGTAACTTCTTACAAATAAAGTTTGCACTTCATAACTACATCAAGCTTATCAAATATGCTTCAAGAATCAAGATGAAGAAATTTTGATTGCCTTGCAATGTATTTTGTGGATCATTCATCTTGTGTCCTATCAATCTTTTCATGAAGATATCAGCATTTCAAATAAGTGTTGATCCTCATAAAAGTGAATTGGAAAAAACTATACTCTACAAATGTAAAATTGCATTTACGTCATGTTCTATAACAGAACAATTACATCTATTATTTGTATCCAAATACACTCAAGAAAAAGTTAATTTACATTATATCGATCATCATTGTTATTGATGTAAACCATACTATGTAATGGTAAAATAGAATTTGTATCATGGACTACCTCACAAAGTTTCAAAGGACAATATAAAAAAACTCACATTAACAATCTATATCTTAAAAAAACATAACAAAAAGTTAACTTACAGTGACTAGTGCCTTAAGTGATGTATACAAGTGATCTTGCCCTCCTACTTGATTAGGAATGTCTAGCTTCTTCGAATTACATGATTTATCCAATTCCATCGAAACACGAGAGTTGTCTGGACTAGAGAGTGACCTATTGACCTACAAGGATGAGAGCGATCGAGAAGGACAAGACATGAGTAAAGAAAATAAATAAGCGTATACAATCATATTCATCATTATATGCTGCCAACCGGTTCAAAACGGGGAAACATATATGCCGTGAAACAGGATCTTCAACAATATTCATTATCTCAAAGAAATGAAACATTTGGGAAACTATTATCAAGATGTTAAGCAACTCGTGCTTGAGAAGATCAATAGTAAAATTAAACCAACCACATTCGAGAAAATTTAAGAACCCGCTCCTCCTCTCAAGAAATCAAACTCATGAGATGCCATAAAAATGATAAAGGACTAGATGAGTAGAAAAGCATAGTGCCATATTCTGAAAGAAAAAGAATAGCAAATCATATTATGTAGAGAGCATGATTTCGTCCAAAATGATTCCATGGAACCTCTACGGTTCGAGAGGAAGAACATTGACTTATTAGCAAAACAAAGTATATATAACATCTAGACATAATATTAAGTAAAATAGTTCAGAGAGAGAACTCATTCCTGAAATAACAATAGTAGTATAAAATGAAGAGAAACTTCTCTAGAGTAACAGACACAAAAAAAGGGAAAATATTTGAAGAGAGCCACAGTTTCAAAACATTGAATTTTCACGAACGAATAGGCAGCTTACGTAATATTGAAAAGAATTGTGGAAATGACATTCATTGCGTATCAACATACAATATAACAGTGAACTTTGCATAGTAAGAATACCAATTAAAGGAAATGAGTTCAATATATGTTGATAATGTTTACCATAATAGCATTAACGGTCTCATTACTTGCAAAAGCTAATAGCGGTTTTGCCATTTCAAACAACTTATGTTAGTTTTATTGTCCAACGAATAACGATTCATGCATCAATCTATGAAAAAAGCAATACATCCAAACCTTCAACCCTAGAACGGTATTCTATTCTTCCAATGTATATTAGAAAAACCTATTGGCAATTTCAATTTTGTTATCCTCAAAAATCATATTCTTGTACACATACATAAACAATATGTATACTCATAAAACAGATCTGGACAAAAAAAAAGATATAAACATATATATTCATATAACTATACTGTAATTCATTCTTTGTCAACAAAAGATTTAAGAATATTTCGACATTTTAAATTCAACCATCAATTATTTGCTAGTTTCACTAAATGTATAAACAACTAGATCTGTACGCCTTAGATAAGAAAAATAGATTTTAACATTATAGATGTTCCAATCTATATAAACTTTGTCAAATCAACGTACAGATCTAGATGATGGATCTTTTGTAGCAACTCAAATCTTAACCTTAAAATAAATCAAACAAGAACCCTAGAGAGCGTTGGAATTCTCATCTTTCGCCCTTCATCGCTTTTGATTTTTTCTTTTTTTTGTAAAAAGATGCTATCGAAAATGCATTTCTTTGTTGTTGAATCACAAAAAACATGGCCAAATAACCTAGCACGAAGGTTGATCAAGACTTACCTCACTCATTTTCGATGGACCAGCACCTGTTGAAGGAGATGACGCAACTGGTTGAGAAGATCCATCCTGGAATTTCTCTTTCGGAGAGGGAGGAAGAGTTTGCATCTTAGGGTTTGCCATTTCAAAGGTCACCTTGAGAGCTGATGCTTATTACAAGTCAAAAGATGTGTGGTTCACCAATTGAAAGAGAGAAGATGGTATCCAAAGAGATGACAGATGGTGGATATTTGAAACAACACGGTGAAATAAAGCCAAACAATTTGGCCCATTTATTATCTTGGGCCAATACATGTTCATCATTGCAAGTCTCGTGTATTTTAAGAACCTAAGTTGGCAACCAAAAGAGCTAATTAGCCTTCCATATATTTGTAAAAGCTAAAAAGAATCTAACACTATTAGAATATAGTCTTTTCCATAAATGGAAAAAAAAACCCATAGAATCATTGAGTACTTGAACCTTAGGTATATTGATTATTACAAGGAAAGTGGAAATGAGTTGGGCAAGTGAAATTTGGAAAACAAATAAATGCACTTTTGGGCCTTTTTTTCTATTGATAATGAAGTCAATCAAATTCAATTCTGGTGTGTTTGAAGCAATACGTATCCACAATCTACTAATCGAAAAGAAAATTTAATGTAAATGGAACTTGAATACGTAATGCCTTAGCTAATCATTATCCATTGTAACAAAGCCAGAATAAATAATGGACATTTGATCAATATCGTCACGATATTGAGCGATCAAGTTGCGATGCAGCAATGATGCACTGAAACTTTTAATTGATTTGCGCTCTATAAAATTATCTATGACTAGTTGATAATTCGGCTTTTATAGCAAAAAAGGAAAATAATGAATTCCAATCAAATTTAAGGAACGTAAGCTAGCACCAATAGCATTTAGGTGGACAATTAACTTTTATGTCAAAAAGGATGATGTGGGATTAGAATTAATACTATAAGCAGGAAAACAATCAAGAGACTAACAATTTTATGGATGTATCAGTTCACATGTAAGCAGGTTTTAGGGCATGAATTGATCCTTATCTCTTATGTAAATTCAATCCAAAAATCAAATGCTCATTAAACTGTAGCATTAAATTCCAGATTTTGAGTATTTACTTCCATGAATGGGTTTTGCTTCTTTCGAGGCATCATTAAATACAATCTGATTAAATTAACCATATTGAACTATCTAGTTATAGCTTGATTATTTCATTCACTTAGCCAAGATATCTTATTATAAAATGCAAATAATTGCTTTATTCGGTGCAAGAAAAGGACCAGATGCTTACTTCTGCCAGGGCAGACATATACATTTCTTGAAATGCTAAGAAGTAGGCATGGTGTTAATATCTACCTAGGAGGAACATATAGCACGTTATATGTAAACCCTTTAGTCAAATAAATCACTACGAATACATCCCAATCGCATGTCCATGTATATCGGGTAAGGCTCCATCAATTGGATGACATGTGTAGCCCCGAAGTTACTTTAAATAGGTGACGTTATGATTTAAATGCGCGATTTGTCATATCTAAATCAAGAGGTTAACCATTTTAGCCACTCTTTGGAGATTGAAAAAAATAATCTTCAACATGTTACATAAGAATCTTATTCTTCTAGTTAGATACTTGTAAAATCCAATATCTAGTGTGCTAGTCTATGTATCACATTGCCTTAATTAGTCTAAGGGTGTTAATGTATCTGATCGGTTGGGTTCCCACTTATACCCGAACTGTGCAGGACATGAAGGGACATAATTTTTTGTGATTCGATTCGAGACCCCACTCGCATAAAATCCGAACTTAAAAATGGGTTGAGTTGAGTTTGTTTTTTGGTGGCATAGTCGTCCTTAATTTTCTCAACCCAAAATTTAGCATGGTTAATGCATGTTTAGCTTCACCGCACCTTGAACCAATTTATGTGCCGACCTTTAACTTCGGAAATAGGCTTTTTTAAGGACATTCCACAAACCCGCATAGATCCATTCCCATTATGCCGCGTTGTCCATCACGCCCCTCTAAATATGTGTCCACAGAGCCCAGGTCTTAGGACGCCAAGACAGCAAAGTCCTAGATTTGAGGTCGCGACCACCGCGGCTTCACGTCTGGGGTTGCCATCGTATCAAATCTGAGACAACCAACTCAAGTCCGAGGCCCCACACCTCAGATCGAGCCCGTACCGCCTCAAGTTTGAGTTGGAGAGAGAGAGAGGATCTTCTCCAAACTGAAAATAACTGATAAATATAAGTTGCCAGACTCAAGGAGTATGACCGCTCTCGGTGCCATAAGATCCATCTTAGGTACCATCTTATGAAGATGGCACCTTGTGCTGACATCGTGCCACTCATGATCCAATCCTTCTAAAAAAGTTTAACATGACCATCTCTATAGTAGTTCATGATGGCGGAACAGACAAAATCGAGATGTAGGATGAACTGTCGGATGCTGTTATCCAATAGTACAAGTTTAACATGAGCATCACTCCTACTCGTGATGACCTTGCTCGTACTTGAAAGAAAAGGGAAGACTCGTTCAAAACCTGCACGCAGAGGACATCTATTCTTTCTGTCCACCTGGAACATCAATTCTTTCGGTGCTTTTGGACTAGAAGCATATGGCGTAATATCCTCGCATAATACCGAATTCAACGTTCTTTAAGAGGTTATTATGAACTCCAATGGATAATCAAGGCTATCAAAGGCAAAGACTTGGTAACAAGGCTTCTCAAGGTATCTTTCATAGTAACCATATATTGCATTTGGAAGGAGCGTAGCCGTTGACAGTTTCCAAAATAAGTCAAATGATGTCCCCATAATGTTGGCTAAATTTTGCAAACTTGTCAGAGAGCAAACTTCGTACATCAAACATTTTAGACCTTCCCAGAAAAATGTAATATTGGCTTGAATACTCCCGGGAACATTACCAAAAAAGTCATAAACCTTTTGCAATTGTGCCAATTCAGTCCTAAACCAATTTTTTTTGCCAATTCGGTCCTAAACCTTTTGCATTTATGCTAATTCAGTCCATCCGGCCACTTTTGGCCGGCCGGCACTGACGTGGACAGCGGCCGGCATCGGCCGCCTGACGTGGACAGCGGCCGGCATCGGCCGCCTGACATGGCAATATTTTAATAATTTTTTATTATTTTTCAAATTTTTTTATTTTTTCTCTTTCTATTTTTTTTTCTCCTATCTTCTTCCTCCATCATGACCGGTGACCGGAAAGAGGCTGCGGCCAGCGAGGTCAGTTTGACCTCGCCGGCCATGGGCGAGGCTGGCCCTCACTGGCACTGGCGAGGGCGAGCTTCGCTGTCGCCGGGCGAGCTCGACCTCGCCCGGCCATGGCAAGGTCGACCCCGCCGTCGCCGAGCGAGGTCGAACCTCGCCCTGGCCATGGCGAAGTTGACCTTGCCCGACGACAGCGAGGTCTCACCAGATCTGGGCAAGGCCTCGCCCGGCGACGACAAGGCCGCCAAGATCTGGCGAGACCTCGCCGTCGCTTGGCGAGGTCGAGCCTCGCCATGGCTGGGCAAGGTCGAGCTCACCCAGCGATGGCGAGGTATCGCCATGGCCAGGGCGAGGCTCAACCTCGCCCGGCGACGACAAGGTCTCGCCAGATCTGGACGGCCTCGCCGTCGCCGAGCAAGGTCGACCTCGCCATGGCCAGGCGAGGTCGAGCTCACCCAGCGACGGTGAGGCCTCGCCCAGATTTGGCGAGACCTCGCCGTTGTTGGGTGAGGTCGACCTCCCCCGGCGACGGCGAAGCTCGCCCTCGCCAGTGCCGGCGAGGGCCAGCCTTGCCCAAGGCCGATGAGGTCGAACTCGCCGGACCGGCGACCGAGGAAGAAGACAGGGCAAAAAAAACAAAAAGAGAAACAAATAAAAAAAATTGAAAAATAATAAAAAATTTATTGAAATATTGCCACGTCAGCCGGCCGGCGTCCACGTTAGTGCTGGCCGGTCAAAAGTGACCGGATAGACTGAATTGGCATAAATGTAAAAGGTTTAGGACTGAATTGGCAAAAAAAAAAGTTTAGGACTGAATTGGCACAATTGCAAAAGGTTTATGACTTTTTTGGTAATTTTCCCGAATACTCCATCACTCCATTTTTTCACATTCTCAGTTATATTCGTAATGTTCAGGAATGCTCCTAAGTTTCTATTCGTCATCTTACAAATGGTACTTACATTTTACACCAAACAAAAAAAAAAAAAGGCGATGCAGGTGCTGTTGAAGATCACAGTGTGCTGCAGCGAGTGGAGGCTTGAAGATCGAGCCGTGCAAGGTGGCTGATGAGCGTGCCAAAAGCCGCAGGAAAAGAGCTTCGTTCTCTTCGTATTCTTGATACTTCCTTTCAATTGTATAGTACGTGCGTTCCTCCCTCGTGGACGGGTCAGCCCCCTCCCCATTGTGTGCGTTGGTCTCCCTTTTATAGTTCAGAAAATTGGACTCCAAGACAAGAATCGAATTCTCTACTTTCACTTTCCTTCTATGGGTGATCAAATACTTGGTGTCTTTTGGTTTCTTTCTTTCTTCCATTCAACCATGAATGTTTTTTTACTCCATTAAATTCTGCTCTTGACCATGTATTTGTGCCCAGATAATCTCCCTTGTGGCCGGGAACAGGTTTCTTTTACAGGGAAGGGATTTAAAATTTTCAAGTTTCGATTAATCATCAGTTTCCTAACTTGGATAAAAAAGATACAATAACCCCTTCACCTTAAGATATCCCTTTTTAATTCTCCTTATTATTAAAATTCCAAAAATAATATTTTTTTTTATCTCCTCTGAATGTATTAGATAATGCAATCATTCCAATTTTATAATTACTCATGCGCAATGCACATGCGATCTTCGGCCCCTGTAGTCTTTAACGGGCTTGTCCAAATTTTGAAATCCCGCAGGCTTAGTCCATATAACTAAATGAAACTCAGAACCTCCCTGCTTAAGCCCATCAGCTCTAGTCCAATTAGAATAAAGTTTATGTGTGCTTATTACCACTAAAATTACCACTAAACGATAATGCTCATAATATGCAAATGCAAATTAGTAATATTTTCATTTAAGGGTTAGGGTCAATCACTAATTTTCTATGTAATAAATGATTAAATAGGCCG